CTTCCGGACGTGATCGTTCGTTACTCTGCCATCGAGAGATTTATCGCGAATAAAAGGAAGCTTTTGCGAATGAAAATTTTGGAGATTTGCCGGATTTTTAGAAGCGAAGACCGCGAAACGGCTCAAACAAGCTACACTCGTGTCGACTTCAAAGTTGAAATTGGTCAAAACGTCCTAACAGCGACCTTATGATTCTCCTGTTTCTTGATTAGGTTTCACTAACGTTTGATTTATCACAGTTGTAGCGTCAGTGCGAGTCTAAATAATCAAATGATAAAACTAACTGTTAATATTATTCGAAATATGAACATTACATTCACGCATTCAGAATCATAAAGTCGCTGTTAGAATTTTAAGGTAAAAAAAAATTACCTTGCATTGTATTCTACTCATCACGAAGTTAAAACTTTTTCAAGGAACCTGATAGTTCTTTTGAAAAATGGCAAAAAAGTTTCTTAATAATTTAACGCTGCGAACGCGTGAGTCCTAACAGCGACTTTATGGTTCTGGTAATTTTCATATTAGGTTTCACTAACATTTGATTTATCACAGATGTAGCGTCAGTGCGAGTCTAAATAATCAAATGATAAAATTAACTGTTAATATTATTCGAAATATAAATATTACATTCACATATCCAGAATCATAAAGTCGCTGTTAGAATTTTATGGTAAAAGAAATTTTTTTTTTGCATTGTATTCTACTCATTACGAAGGTAAAACTTTCAAGGAACCATAGTTCACAGCCTAATAATTCTTTTGAAAAAAGTTTCTTTGGTCATCAATCAAATGTTTGTGAAATCTAATCTATAATCATAAAGTCGCTGTTAGCACGCATTCGTCAACAGTGTTAAATGATTAAGAATCTTTCAAAAGAAGCATTAGGTTGCGACCTGTGGTTCCTTTTATCTTCGCGATGAGTAGAATACAATGTAAAAAGAAAAAGAAATTTTTGAAATTCAAGATCAAGATTAATTTTGCCGCAAGTTCTATACATGTATATCCATCAAATCGAAGATGTGGAATTCATTTATGATAGCCACGGGCAAATTTTCCTTTTCTTCTTTTGGTCCTATATCCGATTATTTTAAATTTCACCAAACACGTTGACAGAACTCGATTAAAGGAGCCAGTTATTTAGATTGATTAAGAAACAGCCGGCGGTCTCTTTGTCCGCAATCGGAGATCGGGAATCGAATCGAGCGGCGACCATTATTTTCGACAGCCGTGGGTCAATACTGCGTTACACGAGGCGATTGAATTATCTCCCCGGCTGTAATTCAATAACCGGACAATTTCGCCCTCTTTCGCGATGAATTAATGCATTTATCCGATCTTTAAACGTGGCAATTTATTTCACGCGAAGCAACCTCGACGGGATCGCGCGAAATTGCACAATAATTGCAGACACGCCCTGCATTATCCGCGATTATAGCTCATAAATAATTATATCCTCGGCGGTGCTGACCGACATAAGACTGGAAAAATTCACTTGGAAAAATATCGAATACCTCGGCAGGAATACATACGTTTTATAATAGATTGTTTCTGGCTCGAACCGGGTTGATGTCATCTCTATTTCTCACTAGCACGTACGAGCAATTCCATCGAGTGCTGGTAGATCGACTTGTCGGAACGGATACTGCCGGCGGAGTTATTAGTGTCACGTGATACTTGAATAATTGTCTTCGGATAATTTTTGAAAATTGAGTCCGATCAAACGAACGATTTCCAACGAGAAAATTCTCCTTCTCGAAAAGGTCTTAATTTTTATGAAGCGAGAAACCTTGAATTACAGAAGCTCTGTCTTTGAACATTGTTTCGCGATACAAGAATAATTTCGAACTTTTGATTGAAAAGCTGAAAATCCTTCTGGGAAGAATTTCGCGACCTGACTGTGAACATTTCTGTGATACTAATTCGTGAATTACGGGGCCTTGTCAGATGAAAAAGATCGATCTATATATCGATTTAGAAAAAAATGAAATTTAAAATTCATCAACGCTAGAACTGCTGTGACAATTGAAGCGTAAAATATCCATCAAAGACGTTAAAGTGAAAAAGATAGGAAAACTCTGTGGTAACTTGCGCAAATTTTTATCTATATTATTATATATCTTTTATCTATATTATTATTTTTTATTTATCTATATTATTATATATCTTTTTTATCTGTATTATAATTTTTTATTTATCTATATTATATATATTATTTTATTTATCTATATTATTATATATCTTTTTTATCTATATTATTGTTTACACAAAAAATCGTTTAAATCTCTAAAAATGCGTAGTAATTCATACCTACAAAATTTCCAACGAAAGGTAAATTGTAAGTGGTCATTTTGACCATTTTAATAATTCTAATATTATAATTAAGATATATTAATTATATATCTTTTTAAGAATTGCCTACGACGAACTTTTATTTGTACAGAATCGCAAGAATCATTCAAACCTCTGAATATGCAACATTGTAAATCTGCGAAACTATTTTAAAGAAAATTATAAATTGGTCATTTCGATCACCGCGGTAGTTCCAGCGTTAAAGAAAACACCTTTTTCTGAATATATATGTATAATACAACAAATTTTCGATTAAAGATACCAACTTCCCATCGAAGAATAGCGATCTGACTAACAAACCAACGATTGTGCGTTGAACGAACACGAACCCGACGTCTCAAGCGACACGATCTAACAGTAGAAATTCTCTCGTATGAAACTCGACTAGCGCGGGAATGATTTATACGGTTGAGTGGACTTCTGACGCCTATTCACGGATCGTGAAAAATCAACGCTACTGCGTTTCATTATTATTGTTACCTACGGTAACTTTTAACTGCGTGTGATCAAAAAAAAAAAAAAAAGAAAAAAAAGAAGGAAAGAAAATATTTCGACCGCATTGAACACCAGACAATTTACATTTGAGAATTCTGCGAACGCGAGGTTTCGGTTTCCACGTGCGAAACTCTCTCGGATGCGTCGAGGGTTTCATTTTGGTACTCGAAATACGCATTAAAGGGTTGCAGAGTCCTGTTGGGAAGTTAAGGGACGACTCGCGTTCTGCAGGGCGAGTACAGATTAGCGAGTGTATTTTACTAAACTACCGCAGTGTCTGTGTATTTTGTTGTTCGTTGTTGCAACGCAAACGAAACGCACACAGACCATAATGTGGCGGTGACGCAACCGACGAAAGGAAGAGATATTGTGAAAAGCTCTGGATGATGATGAATAATAATCCATCCACACGAAATTTCTACGATCGATGACGCTTCGGGTTTGGATTCCTTTTTTTTTCTTTTCTTTTTTTTTTTCTTCTCGAAGAGATCACGAAGAGATCGAGTTTTCCGACAATGCAAGGTAGAAACGAGGTCGAGAAAGGAGGAAATCTCGTCTTTCATCGAGAAGGCTCGAGGATGCACTAGAAGGAGAAAGAGAGAGAGAGAGAGACTGATTGCAACAACGTTTCGCATTCCTCCGCATGAGATTCCATCGTGCCGTAATTTCGGCTCCGTGTACCATAAAATCGGTGGTTTCTGCACCACCGAGAGAAGCTCGAGCGTTCTCGAGCATTGTCACGCGCGCGCGGCTCGATCCTCGATTGCCGAGGACGCGTATGCATCCGGAGCCTAACCCGATGCGAAATGTTCAGTATTTCTTGCCAGGCTGGAGAGACCTGCTTTCAATTTGCGGCCAACAATTTGCCCGACGACTACACCACTACTGCGACGCGCGGGCCCCGTGATATACATACATTCCATGACATTCCTGTATTTCCCGATGAAGGGAATCATTCCCTTCCCACCCCTCCGATACGCCCAACTTGCGAAACTTACGATCTTCATGCCTGCCAGTGGATGATTGGCAATTGTATATTTATCAGACTTGTATTTCTTTTTTTTCTTTTCTTTTTTTAATTGTATAATAGGAAGCATGAAAATCTGTCGATACTTCAGACACCTCTTGAAACGTAAAATTTTAGTTTTTTTTTTCTTTTTTTTAAATCGTATAATAGGAAGCATGAAAATCTGTCGATACTTCAGACACCTCTTGAAACGTAAAATTTTAGTTTTTTTTTCTTTTTTTTAAATCGTATAATAGGAAGCATGAAAATTTGTCGATACTTCAGACACCTTTTGAAACGTAAAATTTTAGTTTTACCTTGAATTCTCTCTTTTTGAAAATATTTTTAACACCAATATTGAAACACCAATGTGTTTTTTTGTCTTTTCGTAAACATTCATACGTATGTAAAAATACTGAAAAGTTTTATTTACGCTTTAATCTTGAAGATTTGCAACAACCCCTTAATTAAAACTTGCTGTACGATTTTTTTCTTTCTCTTTTCAATTTTATTTTATTCTTTTTATTCTTGAGTATATTTTGTTGTTTTAACTAACGTCCAAAGACGAAAGAAGAAAAATCGTACAGCAAATGAGAGACTTTGATCTTCGAGATTAAAGCGATGAATTTCGTCGTAAATAAAATTTTTGAGTGTCTTACGCATGTATGAATTTTTACAAGAAAAAAAAAAAAAAACATTTGCTACATTAAAATATTTTGAAAAAAAAAAAAGGAGGAATTCAGGGTAGCTGAAAACTAAAACTTTACGTTTTAAAACGAGATCAAATAAATTATTAACGAAGCTGTAACAAAAGCTATAACGTATTGACAATTTTTCATTGAAATTAACTGCGGCACAGAACCGACTGCACGCAAACAATTTAACAATTAAAATTAATGACAACAAGGTCGTAAAATTTTTTTGGAAAGCCAGAACGTTACACACTTTGCTTCTTTAGTAGTCTACGTCTTTAGTATTCTACTCGATAAAATATGATTAACGTTAAAAATCCACGTTCAGGTTTGCTCGTCACTGTATTTTTAGCTGAGTTGTTTTTCGATTCGCATCAAGTTCTTGTCGAGAAATGAGGGGCTGAGAAAAAAAAAAAAACGGAGGAAGTTTTCACGGATTTCGTTTGTGCATTTTCGTAGGTGCTGGCTACGCTGGCGCTGTCTATGGGAACGCTGTCGTCGGGCCTGGCAAAGGGTTACACTTCGCCAGCCTTGGACTCCATTCTGGACAACCAGCCGCCTCACCTTTATCAAACTTCCAACAACGACACTTGGTAAGTACCTCTTCGTACATGGAAAAATTCAGCGCGAGTAAAACTACCGCGCGTGAGCTACCGTGTTAAAGAAACGATAAAGAGAGATAGAAAGTGTGTGTGTGTGTGTGTGTGCGTGCGTTAAAGAAACGACGCAGACAGAACATTAAAGGCGCAAATAGGAAAGGTGAAACTCGCTAAGTAATCGTAAGTTAGGCGCGTGTCGTGTCCGGCAACGATTAGCCAGTCGGCAGATAAGCAAATTAAATAAACCCTCGCTCGACCGTATAATAAAGCGCGTGCGAATATTTCAGATAATTTGCTCAACAAACGCATTAACGTCACTCCCGTTCCGTTTCAAGCTGTCGCGCACTTTCTCCGCGACAAACGGTGGTTGCGTTCGATTATAAAAAAAAAGCACGTCACCGAGAACTGACAATGAAATCGTGCTCGTTGTATGTACGTGCATGCACATTGGATCCTTTGTAATATTCGTACGCCTTACGTAATATCGAAATTTATGATCAACAACTTTGCTTCTCTCTCTCTTTTCTTTCTTTTTTTTTTTTGTAATTGTCACAGAACAAGATTTTGGCTTTTAGGTCTCGTTCGTTGAAACGACAGCTTGTCAGAACAGTATCTTGATCTCCACTGTACAAAGCTGAATTGAATCTTATGAGCGCCACCTCTGCAAAATACACGCAGAGAACGACATCGAGTCGCTTTGCTCTCGATGGACCAAATAAATGGAGTTCCATTGTATAATATAGGTCTCTTCCCTTTCGTCTATTTTGAATTTTAACAAAACATCGAAATACAAGAGAAAACTAATTTTATTAATTTTAACATGAGGAAACGTTAATTTTATTCATTTCAAATTAAATTCAAGCACAAACGTGATTTTCTTTTTGCGTTCTTTAATCTATAAAAAATATATATATATATTTTAAATAAATGGAGTTCCATTGTATAATATAGGTCTCTTCCCTTTCTTCTATTTTGAATTTTAACAAAACGTCGAAATACAAGAGAAAACTAATCTCATTAATTTTAACATGAGGAAACGCTAATTTTATCAATTTCAAATTAAATTCAAGCACAAACGTGATTTTCTTTTTGCGTTCTTTAATCTATAAAAAAAATATATATATATTTTAAATAAATGGAGTTCCATTGTATAATATAGGTCTCTTCCCTTTCTTCTATTTTGAATTTTAACAAAACGTCGAAATACAAGAGAAAACTAATCTCATTAATTTTAACATGAGGAAACGCTAATTTTATCAATTTCAAATTAAATTCAAGCACAAACGTGATTTTCTTTTTGCGTTCTTTAATCTATAAAAAAAATATATATATATTTTAAATAAATGGAGTTCCATTGTATAATATAGGTCTCTTCCCTTTCTTCTATTTTGAATTTTAACAAAACGTCGAAATACAAGAGAAAACTAATCTCATTAATTTTAACATGAGGAAACGCTAATTTTATCAATTTCAAATTAAATTCAAGCACAAACGTGATTTTCTTTTTGCGTACTTTAATCTATAAAAAATATATATATATATTTTAAATAAATGGAATTCCATTGTATAATATAGGTTTTTTCCCTTTCGTCTATTTTGAATTTTAACAAAACGTCGAAATACAAGAGAAAACTAATCTTATGAATTTTAACATGAGGAAATGCTAATTTTATTCATTTCAAATTAAATTCAAGCACAAACGCGATTTTCTTTTTGCGTACTTTAATCTATAAAAAAAAAAAAAATATGTAATAGAAGAATTAGGGATTTATTTCAGTAAAAAGTAATGTTTGACCCGCCCTGTACCTACAGAAATATTATATATACACATCCACACGCACGCGCGTCATATTTTTATCCATCGATCTTCAAAGTCGCTTACACGAAATATGCACAAGGCCTAAACTTGGCATTACGATTAATTGCCTTGGTTAATACGCCTTGGTTAGTTTCCTCTCGCACAATGCCGCGCAACGAATTATACGAATTATACAAGTATCCAATGATCCGAAATGGAATCGAATTAACCGAACGAAGAGGAGAGTTCGAGAGGCATCGAGTGCCTCGAGATCCTCCAGATCCTCCGTTGTTGGGCAAAGAGCGAACTGACAGATCTTCACAACGAACTATGAACCGGGTTCATAGGATGATCGATCGCACGCACCCATATCGAGGACGATATCGATCAGTCCTCGGTGAGCGTTTAACGGCTTAATCGGCCGATAGACGAGACAATGCAGAGAGGAGGCGGCCTCTCTCGGCATTAGAGACAGCGATTACGCTCTCCCCGTTGCACAACGTTAGTCACTGTCGTCCGTAATCGTATTGGCCATTTGTCGTAGGTCGGCTTTCTCGGTGACGCAACAAGAAGCCTCGTGGGTCGCGTCGTTGTCGATGCTGGGCGCATGGTTCGGCGCTATGATCGGCGATTGGATAATGAGGAGGGGTCGCAGATTGGCGCTCCGTGTCACGTCCTTGCCGCTGGCCGTCGTCTGGATCCTCACGGGCATCGCACCCTGCGTCGAGCTGGTCTACGTCACCAGCTTCATCGGCGGCCTCTGTTGCTCCGTGATCACTATGGTGGCACAGGTATCGTATCCTTTCTTTCGTAACTTCTATTTTTTCTTTAATGTCGCATCGACAGCGAGGTCATTAGCGACGACGGTGCCATTAGATATGAGTGTGGTAGTTTATGTTTTTGAGGTATTTTAGTACTCTTTGTGTGTCATTTTGAGAAGTCAGGTTTATGTTTGCGTTGATTCGGTATTTCTGTCTTTGGCATTTCGGATTTCTGTGGTGTGGCATTCGTGCACTGTGTGGGTTATTGTTAGTAGTACTTTCTTAACTGTCGATCGCCGATTTTTCATAAAATCTCGCTTAGACGTAGTTTTCTTTCTTTCTTTCTTTCTTTTTTTTTTTTTTTTGTCGGCAATCGTGAATATCGAATATGGGTGGAAACTATCCTCAATGTTGGGGATATATATATGTTGTAGGGATTATATATATGTTGTCAAATATCTCGGAAATTACCTTCGTGTAAATTCGCACGATATTTTTGACTCATAGAAGATATTGCAACGAAATTTGACATAAAAATATTCCTTCTCAATAATACACATAATGTTTCATGTTTGTTTAATTGCTGTTTGGAAACTATCCTCAATGTTGGGGTATATTTTGTCAAATATCTCGGAAATTACCTTCGTGTAAATTCGCACGATATTTTTGACTCATAGAAGATATTGCAACGAAATTTGACATAAAAATATTCCTTTTCAATGATATACATAATGTGCAATGTGATATGTGTCATGTTTGTTTAAATTACTGTTTGGAAACTATCCTCAATGTTGGGGTATATTTTGTCAAATATCTCGGAAATTACCTTTGTGTCGCATGAAAATGATATACATATGTACAATGTGACATGTTTCATGTTTGTTTAACTGCTGTTTCATTAATTTTATAAACAAATTTGACAAATTATTAACTTTATAGTCTATCTACTATATTTCTGAACTAATTCAACCAATCACACGTAGATCAAACTTTTAATTTTGAAATTATGAACGAAATCGAATAGCACTGAACGTACAAGAATATTCAAATGTAAAATGTCCGGCGACATCATCTAAAAAAAAAAAAAAAAAAAAAACATTTATCCGAACCATACACTAAAAACACTTTATTTTTTGTTGGTCTCTCCACGTAAGTAAATTCTTGAATATTTGTCTATGAAAACTATATATATATATTCAACTCGTTTGGAGTTGAACATCGACGATTGCCAATAAACATTTTTCCCGAAAACTATATTGCCAAATTTTATCAAAATCTTCGATCGTCCGGCAAACAGAGGCACAAAGGCACGTGACAATCATTTTCGTTTAGGTGTATATATCGGAGATCTCGATGCCGGGGATCAGGGGTTGTCTGTCGGCGATGTTGAAGGTGCTCGGCCACGTCGGCGTGTTACTGTCGTACATCGCGGGCACGTACCTGAATTGGCGGCAGAGCGCGTTGCTGGTAGCCATAGCTCCGTCGATGCTCTTTCTGGGGACACTGTTCATACCCGAGACGCCGTCGTACCTCGTGCTCAACGGCAAGGACGACGAGGCTGCCAACAGCCTGCAATGGCTGCGCGGTGATCACGTCGACATACGTCACGAACTGCAGGTAATTAAGATGTACTTCAAGAATATGTACAGTGGTTGTAAAAAGTATTCGTACAGTGGCCAATCACTACAATTATTCATAAAATAATAATGTTTATTTATAATTATAATTATACATAAATATATATTTCTTTATTTATAATTATAATTATATGTAAATACATATTTATTTATTTATAATTATAATTTATTTATAATTATATGTAAATGTATATTTATTTATTTGTAATTATATATAAATATATATATTTATTTATAATTATAATTATATGTAAATATATATATTTATTTATTTATAATTATATATAAATATAATTTATTTATTTGTAATTATAATTATAAATAAATATTATTATTCATTTTAGTCGTGATTATCCACCGTACGAACTTCTTCCATCGTGGCTCTCTCGCAAATGTGCCTGTTGCCCGTTCCTCGTCACGCACAATGCGAAACGTTATTCAAATGGCGATCGTATCAGAATGAAATGGTGATTCATTCCATCGAATTCGTTCCGTTCCTTCACGGACGATCCATATCAATATTCGCCACGATTGTGTGTTCCAGGTGATCAAAACGAACATCCTCGCCTCGCGAGCCAAGCAGTACGAGCTGACGTTCAAGAACAGCATGTTCACGCCGCGGCTGTACAAGCCGATCGCCATCACTTGCGGGTTAATGTTCTTCCAACGGTTTTCTGGGGCGAACGCGTTCAATTATTACGCGGTCATTATATTCCGTCAGACGCTCGGTGGCATGAATCCTCACGGCGCGACCATTGCAATTGGCTTCGTGCAATTATTGGCTTCTCTGTTATCAGGTACGGTAAGCCGAGACTTTCATTGCGTGTTGTCGCGAGGTCATTCGTCGAGGGACCTCGTCGAGAGAAAAAAAAAAAAAAAAAAACGCTCGATTGGACGAAGCACTCTAGTTCTCTATATTCTCTGTTTCGTTTTCTCATTTCTCTGTACGTTTCCTGCAGGATTCCTGATCGACATCGTGGGCAGGCTACCGCTGCTGATAGCCAGCACGGTGTTCATGTCGCTGGCGTTGGCAGGTTTCGGCAGTTATGCCTACTACGTGTCGCAGACGCAAAATCTTGGGTATCCGGACTCGGCGGTGGTCGGCCAACACGACTGGATACCGCTGCTCTGCGTGCTCGTCTTCACGACCGCTCTGGCTCTGGGCATATCGCCAATTTCGTGGTTATTGATTGGCGAGCTCTTTCCTCTGGAGTATCGCGGCCTCGGCTCGAGCATCAGCACCAGCTTCAGCTACTTCTGCGCGTTCGTCGGGATCAAGCTCTTCATGGACTTTCAGCAGGTGAAACGTCGTAACTCGTAATTGTGATCGCGTAAGATCGTGACAGCGTAGCCTAACAGCCCAACATCCCGTTCCCCCTCCGTTAACGCGTGTCGGGGGCGTTTAGGCATTCGTGCTGTACGGTGTTTAATTAGATGTTTGGGTCGATAAATTACAATCGAGCGCAGTATCTGATCATGCTCCGGTGCATAATTGAAATGCCACGGTACTTACGCGCCGCTACGTACCCAAACGGGGCTACGGCGCTTAAATATTAATGCAGCAGTGTCGCGTTAATTGACTGAGAGTTTGCCTCTTTATCTGGCTGTCGGCAAGTACAGTTTTCGAAATGATAATTATGCATGGGCGAAAAGAAAACGGTTTGTTCCTGGTTTATCACAAAATAAATTCTACATTTTTGATTTGATGGAAATTGACACGTAAAGAATCTGCCGCAAAATTGATTTTTAAGAAGAAAATTAAATTTCAAGGTCAATTTTTTTTTTTTTTTTTTGCATTGTACTCTATTTATCGCCGAGGTAAAGTGGCGAAAAAGTTTCTTGATCATTTAATACTGCGGACGTGTGCGTTCTAACAGCGACTTTACGGTTCTGGACGCGTGGATGTAACATTTATATTTCGAATAATGTTAACGAAATATAGTTTTATCATTTGGTTATCTAGACTCACACTGATCCTGCAACCATGACAAATCAAATGTTAGTGAAATCTAATATGAAAATTATGTGTGTTCCAACAGCGACTTTACGGTGAATGTAATGTTTATATTTCGAATAATGCTAACGAAATATAGTTTTATCATTTGGTTATCTAGACTCACACTAATGCTGCAACTATGACAAATCAAATGTTAGTGAAACCTAATATGAAAATTACCAGACCATAAAGTCGCTGTTAGGACTCACGTGTCGGCAGTGTTAAATAATTAAGAAACTTTTTTGCCATTTACTAGAAGAACTATTGGGTTCCTTGAAAAATTTTTATCTTTGTAACGAGTAGAATACAAGACAAGAAAAAAAAATTTTTTGACCTCGAAATTCTAACAGCGACTTTACGATTCTGGATAGGTGGATGTAATGTTTATATTTCAAATAATGTTAACAGTTACTTTCATCATTTGATTATTTAGACTCGCACTGATGCTATGATAAATCAAATGTTGCAACCTAACCTAAACCTAACCTAATCCAGAACCATAAAGTCACTGTTAAGACTCAGCGTTGAATGATTAAGAAACTCTTTTGCCATTTTTCAGAACAACTACCGGGTTCCTTGGAAAATTTTTTACCTTCGTAACAAGTAGAACACAAGGGCAAGAAAAAAAAATTTTTTCACCTTGAAATTCAAATCGAAATGATGTCCGTATGATAGCCACGGACAAACTTCTCTTTTCATCCTGTATTTGTGAATGTTTGTGATTATATCTCATCCGAAAATTGTACCGCGTTTCGTTTCATTTAAAAAATTCTCAATTAATTTATGAACGATGTTTCAGACGTTCGGTCTGCACGGAGCGTTCTGGTTCTACGCGGCGGTCGCCGTGTGCGGGCTGTGTTTCGTTGTGTGCTGCGTGCCGGAGACCAAGGGGAAACAACTGGACGAGATGAATCCGGACTACGCGCAGGCACGGTAGTATAAGGCCTCGTTGACGGGGGGATTGTCGAACCTGGAGAAATCCAACAAACCCCTGCCAGGAGGTGCCTATCCGAATCAGCACGACCCGAGGGAGCTGTACAGCGCGAATCCAGCCACGGATGTACCAACTACATCCCGCCAGGCACCAATCTACAGGAGCAATCATCGCAAACTGTCCGACTACTGCAACATCTTCGCCGAGAAGACGAACCGAATCGGCCGGAACGTCGAGAGTTTCATGCAGTCGCGCGGATTCTTCGCGGCGCGTCGTTCCACCGACGAAAGCTCGCGCAGCAACGCGACGAACGTAACGCACCGAAGCAACGGCGACGTGATCAGAAACGACTATCGATTCGCCGACCCGAGGCTGGCCGAACGAGCCGAGGTACGCGAGGAGAATCAGCATCGTTACGGTCGAATCGGACGGAGCCGACGATTGGAGAGAACGTCCGTCTATCCGAAGGACGTTTATCCAGATGACGTCCTCTGCCCGGAGGAAAGGGGGGGCATCGCGTCTAATTACACGGATCGCGATGCGGAGACAACAACGTTGCAGTCTCGGCAACGAGTTCGGCAACGCGATTACACGGCCGCGTACGAGGACAGCGACTGGTGGAGAGGGATCTCGGGTGATTTAAACGGTCTCGGGTCTAAGCCGAGCCTGAGGAACGGCATTAGTCGCGGGAGGGGCGAGAGGCTTTACAGCTCGACTTTGCCCAGGCGAAGCAGAACCATCAATTTCAGAGATCAGCCGGGCAACAGTTCCCTCGAGTCGCGGCGTGGCTATCTGAGAAGCTTGCAGGACCTCTCGGACCTCGAGCTGGACGACAGACCGCGAGATCTCGCCGACTCGTCGACTTTCCTATCGTCGAACAGAGACGACTGGAGGAGCGACAGGCTGCTGGTTGCGGCACAGGACGATGGCTACAGACGTCGAAGGTACCGCGAGAACCGACTCGAGGACGATTATCTGAGACTCTACAGGAGCTTGTCCAGGCTCAGCAAATACCCGCAGGGTGGCAAGTACGAACCCGGCCAAGTACACTACGAGAGGGAATGCAGGACGTTCGGCAAGGACACGGTCGCCTTCATTTATTACAAAACGTGCTACTTGTGATGCACGAGGGAATACGAATGCAGGGTCGATGACGACAGTGCATCGTCAGAGGATCGTCGTCCAGCCGTCGATGTGCTTTGCGAGATCGGCCACCTGATTTCCACGATGCTCGTTCTTCTTCTTACGTAATTACTGCGACTGAGTTTTCGAAATTTTCTTGGCTTATTTCTCGCGGAGTTTAGAATGTATTCGAGTATTACACAAGTTTCTTTTCTCGTACAAAATAGAGAGAGAGAGAGAAAGAGAGAGAAAGGGAACGACTTGGTTTTCGTCAGAGCAAGATTTCACTAGATTACTCTCGTTGAGTTCCTCGATCGATTTGATACGAGCTTTCATTTTTCAGTTTGACCCGAAGTCGGTAGGCGTTGTATAAGATTGGTCAGAAACGCGCGCGTTCGATCGAACCTAACCTAACGATCTTCGAGTACTTGACGTGTAATAACATTCTAAAAAAAGACTTGTATCGAGTAATCAAAAACCAAGAAAAAAAAAGAAAAAAAAAGAAAAAAAAAGAGGTACAATTTATATGAACGTAGAATAGGGGTTTAACGATTATGAATAGAGGATAAAGTTAAAGTTAATGATTTAAGGACACAGCGAGACGATTCGAGTGTTGATTCTTCCTCCCTCTGACCAGTTTTATGCTCACTTTCGAATACTGATAGTCGTATAAATCGTGTCGAATAAGATCTCCTTTCCAAGCCACACGACTGAATTACGTAAATTACGTATTAGATATCATCTTCGTGATTTGCCTTGCGAAACGTTGAACGACATTTTGACCAAGAAGCGCGTTAAATTAACATACACGTTATTTTCCGTAATTAATCGAAACTATATAGATATATATATATACATATTATATCGAACGAATATTCTTGCGGGTTACGCGCATTCGAGAAACAAAAAAAAAAAAAAAAAAGGTGGATCTCATCGGAACAAAAAAAAGAAAAAAAGAAAGAGAGAGAGAGAGAAAAGAGAATATAAAAAAAAAAGATAAAGAACGCTCTTCCGTGCAACGTGCCTTCTTCGAGAGCACGTAAACGTAGACGTACAGATGATGATGAACGCAAAAATTCGTACGTGTACGTGTAAATGTAGAAGAAAAGAAAAGAAAGAAAAAAAAAAACACACAAACAGGAGTGGAAAAAAAAAACATTAGTCGTACATTACGTATAAATTGTTTAGCATAGAATCGATAGACTGGTCCGTCGATTGTCGTCGACGTTTCTCTAAAAAACGTTTTCAACACACTCACACCGTGATATTTTCAACCTAAAACGTCTTCGAGTTTCGACTCGCGAAGCCTCGAGAAGCTTTAAGAATTAAATAGAACTAACAGATGTGTAATAGCGTGACAGAAGCAGAGGTTTTCAATTTTCTTCCAGAAAGCGAGTTCTTGTTCTTTCAAGAGAAAAAAATAAAAAAAAAAAAGGGGGTGCACGACTGACTGACATGTTCAAACCTAGCGGTTTTTTTCGTAGTTACGTTGGCCAAGTAAAAGAACGCCGAGGACAACGCCGTGCGACACTTTGTTTCTCTGTTGAAACGTACGCGGCGTACGTACGTGTTAAATCGATGGGAAAATAATGGAAATTCGTATCCACGCACGGTGAATATCCTTCGCGCGCCATCGACCGGAGAATGTACGTATTTTTCATTCGTTACGCGACGATCGTACAAAACGAAACGACTGGAACGTAACTGTGGAACGTAATGATCGATCAAGGGTGATCGAGGAAATCGTTCGTTGCCTTTTCCCACCGATTTAACACTACCCGCACGAACGAGTGACACAACCGACAGTTGTCGCTGAGAAAAAAAGTGTAGAACGGAGAGAGAATAATTTAGGCAGGGCAGATTGTTTTATTATTTGTCAGGATTTGTCTATATATATATATAAAATTATAAATACTCGGGGGGCCTCGTTCTACGGTTCTAAACAACGGCCACCATTGACTTAACGATGACAATATTATTACCTGTAGATATACTATACATATTATGCGTACTATCTTTCGTACTAAGTACCTATTGTATAAGATCGATTATTATTGTACATTGTATACATATATATTACCTGTACGAACACTTATATGCACGATCGTGCAACCGTTCGGATACAAAACTTTTGCGACAATACTGTAACTAACCATTGCCAAACTCATTTGGGGCACGCGCGCGTACAGGCCGAAACTTGGAAACAACAAAAGTATGTAGCATCGACGATGGTCGTGCCTCTTTCGAAGGAAATGAGGAATTTTTGACACGAAAAGTTCGTACGTGATTTCAATGGCACTATCGGCAGTTCGACTGTCGTCGGCGATGAATTTTTTTTTTTTTTTTTTCACAACTTTTGTCGAGATGAGCGTTTTGGTGTATGGGGTGTAACATTCGTGCAATGATACCATCCAATCTCGAATTCAAGGGCGAGCAGTCTTTTTTGCAGGGAGGGCGAGGGAGGGGAGGAGGCATTCGAGAAAGCGGCATTTGTATTTTGTATTTTTATATAGTTTGTAGAAACTCGTCAGCGTCGACTATTGCAGAAATGATGCTCTGCGCTCTGTGATCGAACGCCTAGTCTTCACGGATGAAAATATTCCCCCACGAGTTATTATTGTTTCAATGAAGAAGAGATTCCAATATTGTGTATATACGATACATATATATATATATAGAACGAAGAAGAGAATTCGTTTGTTGAGAATTTACGTTGGCTCGTTCTGATAAATTTTCTAAAAGAATATCGCCAAGTAAAGATGTACTTGACGAATTCTAATTAATTAAGTGTCCAGCGTCAGGGGATGTTAAATTTACCGACATATCAGGAACGGATAGAGTGTTTCACGTTGATTGAGTTATGAATTTCATTTTTGGAAAGGATGCCTGATAGCGGCGAAGCAATATTTTTTTCCGTGCAGTCTATCGGCAGGATTTCTTACAACTGTAATCGTTTACACACCCCGTGAGTCATATCCCTGTCATATCTAATGTTCTAACGAAGAGTGCTGGGTCCTCCGACGTACGATAAGAAATAAGAAAACGTGTACTTAAAACGCTCAGAAGAAGAAGAAAAAAAAAAAAAAAAGAAAGAGGAGAGAAGAAAGAAACGAATCGGATATACTTTTGTGGATCGATGTGTTTCCTGTTCGATTTGAAAACGTGATTCTAAATACTTCCAATGCTTTCGTTAGACACCCAGGACACTGAACATTGAAAAAACATATCCCTTTAAACGTTGATACGTAGATTTTCGTAAAAAGTTCTTCATACGCGTGTCACTGTCTACGAGAGTAGAAACGAGAACGCAGCATCTTCGAATCTCATAAATCTATATCTACATGAATCTTATAATGCTCAAGGGCTTGGACGCAGTATTGAATAAACAAAACTTTACAATTAAGTTGACGCAGGTGCATTGCTCGTGAAACGAGTGCACGTAGGATAAGAATAAAACTAATTTAAAAAAAAGAAAAAAAAAAGATATTTCGGGATTCTACATATGAATATAGATATATATACATATGCGTTAATAAATTGTACAGAACGATTCTTCGACCATCGTGAGACTATCCTGTTTTTCTTTAGTGTACTGCGCCGAACAATAAGTATGTAAAATGTGGTCTAGAACGGCTGGATAGGTATAGTGGATAAATTCTCTGGTACAACTATGCAAACAGTAAACATCCTCGTTCCTTTTCTAATTAATCAGAACACCTTTCTTTCGATTAGTTGATAACGCTAAGTGAAGTATAAAACTACAGATACGCAGCGAGCGAAAAAAAAAAAGAAGAAGAAGAAGAAAATGCAAAAGAAAGGAAGAAAAAAATAAAAAAATAAAAATCTGCACTGTGCACTTTCGTGAATTGAAGGTATTATCGTAATCCTTAGGTGTAGCAATCAGCGAAAGTCAGATTAGAATTCGTATTAATGCAATTAATGCACGCGTAGCCATGCGATTATTATAAACATCGGGAAGTCCTGAGTCGTTTGATGATGCAGGCCGTGGTGTGATGCAACATTTGCTGGAAGTAATAATATTTGTTTCAAACAAGGACGGAAGAGAAACGAAATTTCGATCAAAAAATTCCACGGGCAAAGTGCAATCAAAAAATTTATCGATTGATTTTTTTCTTTTCAAAATTATCCTTCTCACCGCGGATTAAAATCTTTGTTTTGGAAAAATTCCGTGGCCCGCATCAAACACACATGCATCCTTGCGTGCATCCTTGTGTACGTATACCGTGTGTGAGAGTGTATGTACGCTGTATATT